GCCCCGCCCCTTACGGGCTCGCGCCGGAAGCGCGCGCCCCGCCCGGAAGTCGCCCCTCCCCTCCGTGGGCGGGGCCTCGGGGACACCGCCCTGCGGCAGCTGGGTCTGGTGACGCTCCTCGGTGCATTCATTCATTCATACGTTGATCCCTTCGTCCCACACGCGCGGACCGCACGCCTGCCGCCCCTGCGGTCAGCATTCCTGCTGTCGCGCCCCAGTGGGCCCAGGCGGGGCCAGGGGCTGACAGGAGTTCCCAGCGCCCTACATCAGGGTTCCACCGGAAAAACAGAAAAGGACTTTGTAGATGGGGCCTCCAGGGATGTGTAGGAGTTCGCCAGGTGTGGGTGGTGGGCCTAAAGCAAGCGTGTAGAATGATAGCCATTCAGAAGGTGATCCTTTGGGGACCTTTGCAGTGCTGCATGGGCGGTGCAGGCCGCGTGTTTGCTGTGTACCGACCATGCCCGGTATGGGCATCTCAGGACAGGAGAGGAAACGGAGGCACGGGCCAGCTGGGGTGGGGCAGGTTTGGACCCACGTAATTTCCTCCTGCCCTGCCTGGGAGGCCGGCGGCTGTGGCACCGTGGGTTTGTTTACAGTCCAGCCAGGTTGGGAAGGCAGCAGCCTTGGGGGAGGGGAGACCCGCACGCGGATTCAGCCAGGGCTGAAGGAAGGCTGGAGAGTTTGTCTCCAAAAGAAATGAATCCCAACTTTTTGGTGTGGTTTGGTTTTTTGAGACTGAGCCACACCGTGTAGCCCAGGTTGGCTTCGAACCTACAGCGATCCTCCTGCCTCAGCCTTCTGGACGCCGAGATGACAGACAAGCACCACCACGCTCAGCAAAAGCCCCTAACTTTGCCCACCCGGTTCACCCCCTCTGCCTCGGGACTGCCCCGCCCTGCAGTGCTCGGTCTAACGACAAGCTCACTTCCCCTGTGCGGGCCTGGCAGAGGCCTGCCTTCCTTCCTGCCCCGGCACAGCCCTGCCCTGCAGCGGGCGCCCCGGGTCACGGCTCAGCACACCCCCATCCACTGGCGGGATTCCTCCAGCAGTTTCTGACTGACTTCCCTGCCCTGCCCTCTACCCCGGGCGTGGTGACATCGCTGGTGCATGTTCTTTCTTGTCTTTTTTTTTTTTTTTTTTTTTTTGGTGTTTAGAAATAGGATCTTGCTATGTGGCAACCCTCCTGCCTCAGCCTCCAAGTGCTAGGATTACAGGCGAGTATCACCACACAAGGCCTCCTTAGGTTCTGGAGCCGGCAGGGACCCCAGCCGGGCAACACTGGCTCAAGACTGAGCGGCTCCCGGCGCTCATGTCCAGGTCCCGGCGTTCCACAGCCCGGCCCGCGGCCCTGGCTCCGCGCCCCCCGCCCGCCCCCGTCCCAGGTCACCCGGGCTTCGGGGCGCTGCTGCGGGACCGAGGCTGGGACTGCGGCCCGCCCGTCGCCCCCGCCCCGCAGCGCCTTCCTCTCCTGGTTTGGGCTTTGCCTTTGTGGTTCGGGGGACGCCGCCCTCCCGCCCGGGCCAGCCCGGCTCACACACATCCATGAGGATGCGTGCGCATGCGGCCAGTGTCTGTGTCAGTGCTTGCACACCTGTGTGTGCACACGAGAGCCTCAGCCCCTGGGGGTGGATGGCCCCGGGCTGCAGTGAGGGGCGTCAGGTCCTGGTCACCTTTGGGTGTTAATTGCACCCTTGCAGCCGCCTTGGGCCTGGGCTCTGGGCCAACTCTTCTTGTTCAGGTTGTTGTTCTTGTTGTTTGAGACAGGGTCGCTATGCAGTGCAGGCTGGCCCTGCACTCACAGAGGTCCTCCCGCCTCAGCCTCCTGAGCTGGGATTACAGGTGTGCACCACCGCGCGCAGCTGAGTAAACTCATTTCACACATGGGAAAGTAGGTTCCCCGAGGTCTCAGTGGCGTCAGTGACCAGCAGGCCTGTCGGTGTGGATGCGGGGCGAGAGACTGCAGGTCTTACGACACACTTATTCCCTCATTTCTTCACTCATTCAACAAACACTTCTCCAAACTTCCCTGGGCTGGGCACTGCTGGAGCCCCTAAGTGCTGTCCGTTCTGGTCCTCAAGGAGCTGTCAACCTGGAGGAGGACAAACTGGATCTGGATCCTGGAGCTGTTAGAGTGTGAATTATGTCTGGGAGACAAGGACAGTGTTCTGGCAAAAAGAATGTTGTAGCGGGGCTTCTGAAGCATGAGTAGGAGTTCGCCAGCATTTATTAATTTAATAATAAACACCCCCACAGACAAGCCTTCTGCGCTGACTTCACCTCAGCCTGCCCCTGAGCTTGAGGAGCTAGGGCCAGATGTAGGGGACCCCTGAGGGGCTGGAAGGATTAGGGCGGCAGGAGACCCCGAAATGCGGCCGCTGTGGGCGGGGCCCGGCCCTGTGCAGGATCCGACTGGGTGGGTGGAGGCGGGGGCGGGGCCTGGGCGAGGGTCGGGCCGGACCTGGATCTGGACAGGCTTCCCCGGAAGAAGGCCCGCCAGGCCGCGACCTCGGAGGATGCTGGTGTG